ACCAAGGAGGCAGGGTGGGCACCCTTCTCTAGTCTGAGGACAGCCACGGACTCGGAGTCTGCCGCGCCCCCCCACTGCGCGGCCAGCATCCGCACCACCAAAGGAGCATCCGACTGCCTTCTGTTCCAAGAGGCAGGAGCGCGGGGAAACCCAGAGGAGGCCGGTTCCGTCTGGGAGACAGCCAGCACGGGAGAGGAACAGACGGCGCCGAGGCGAAGCGCCCCCCCCCACCCCACACACACACACTCAGATCCAGCGCTCCCCCCAGGAAGGCGAGCACGCTGAGTCACCCGCTTCCCGGCGCGCACGTCAGACGCCTCGCTTCACACAGCGAACGCCAAGCACATAAATAAGAGGGCTGCTCAGGCGTCAGTCCACCGAGAGGCGGGCCCCAGTCACTCCTTCCCCCGCTGCCCCACCGTCCTCTGTCACTGGAAACGCCACCGCCGGCCACTCCCGGGAAGAAATGCACTGAGGGGTGCCGGCCTGTTCGGAGCTCCGAGCTGATTTATGGAATTGAATGAATGAATGAGTGGAGAATTGTGCCAAAAACTCAGTTTGTGTGTATCCGGCCAGGCGAGCATCTTCGCTACTTTTCAGGCTTAACACTGATGTATTTATGTGCGGGGAGGAAACATCATTTTTAGAGATTCTTCATCTTGGGCCATGCATCTGCCAGAGTTACGGGAGGTCTCCTGCAAGGATGAGCCGTAAATCCTGAGCAGTGCTTACAAACCTACCCACGCTCAGGCAGCGGGATGGGGAGCCAGATAAATAAAATAAATTGCGATGTGACTGAATGGTAAATATTGACCAGCTCTGTGGGAGGGAGAGCTGCAGATCTTTCTCGGGTCTCATAAATCATCAGGCTTCACGCAAGGGCTCCCTACTGCCAGAGAGAGGCAGTCTGGGTCTGTCCCTGTCACGCTGGCAAATGCAAAAAAGACTCCAGATCTGCAACGCTTCAGCTTTGCAAAATCTTGATCGCTCGCTTTTTAAAAAATGCAAAGCAGAAGCGGAGGCTTCCCTGGAAACGTTCCCTGCTTCCCCCGGGAGACGCGCTGCCCGGGCTGGGTTCAGAGGGGTTGGTGGGAGGAGGCGATACCGCAGAGGAGGGTTCCGGGCACATAGTTTTGGGAAATTCTGCAGACCCTCCTGGACACTAACAACATCATCACTAGAGTCCCTCTCTGAGAAGTCCCGGGATTGGGGAACCCGTGTGCACCTGCTGATTCAGGGGACCCTCAGTGTGTTTAACTCGAGAACTGTCATTTGCACACAGCAAGGTTGAGACAAATGTGAAATTTCTTGACTTTCTAAATCAACTAAGTCTGTCCCGAGCCCCCAGCCCACTGGGCGGGTGATAAATCCATTCTCAGTCTTGACTGCACCCTCGGGGCACCCCCAACCCCGGGAGGCATTCACCCCTGAAGACAGCCATGCATCCTGGGTACCACGGGATGGCCCCTTCCCGAGCCCCTTCCAACAGCTCCATGGTTTTGCTGCACCTCAAGGGACACAGAGGCTGTGGCCAAAAGGGGACTCTTTCTTGTCCGAGGGTGCGTCCATCAGCCCGCCTGCCCGGGACTCCCGGAGACGGTGTTGGGAGGATCACTGGCTGGGAGAGTCCACGCGTGGGTCTTCCCCGCATCGTGCACGACCGTGTGTCACAGGGCAGGCGGCCCTGTCTACGGCGGAGGGAGCGGGGTGGCTATTTCACAGATTTCCCAAATCTATGAATATTTGATTAATGTTTGTCTCCTTGGCGACAGAATGACTGACATGAGGTCAAGGGCTCTTGCTAATCACTGTATTTTTCCTGCCTCTGAATTTCCAAGCACACAATGGTGGGTGTGACAGGCTGAATATGACCCACCACCCAAAGATGTCCACGACCTGATCCCCGTGTGGTGGACAGAATAATGTCCCCAAAAAATCCACTTCCTGATCCCCGTGTGGTGGACATGATTTAATCTCTAGAACCTGTGAATATGCCACCTGACGTAGCAAAGGGGACTTTGCAGATGTGATGAAATGAAGCATCTCACCGTGGGGCGCTTACCCTGAGTGAGTGCAGCACAACGACACGGTCGTTATCAGAGAGGCAGGAGGGTCAGAGGCAGAGCAGAGAGACGGGATGGCGGCAGGACAGGTCGGAGGGACATAGGGATCTGAAGACGCAGGAAGCGGCCCCGAGCTTCGGGATTCGCACGTCGAGGGAGCGGTTTTCCCCAAAGCCCGTGTCCCTTGGGGGGACTCAGAAACTCCACACCGGCCCCACCGTCCAGAGGTGCACCTGGGGCACCTGAGAAGGGACAGGCGCTGAGCTCAGAGGAAGGGTCTGACGTACGGGCCGAGTGTGGGCTGAAGCTCAGCCCACATGTGGCTGAGAGTCTCTGCAGAGAGAAGACGGAGGGCGTGCAAGGACGGCCCAGTGCCAAGCGTCCCAAGGTCCAAACGCAAGCAACTGTGTCCCAGTTTCCAGAGAAACATAACCTTTCTGAGAGCCGGGCGTGCCCGGCTCAAAACTCTGCAGAGAAACGGAGCACGGGGCCACCGCCGGATGACCGGAGCCATCCCAGGACTCGCCATCGGAGCCCGGCTTCACAGACGCACCTCCGGCCCGGGGCAGGGGACGCTCTCCCAGAGACCAGCGGCGACTTGACAGCCATCACTCTTCTAGTTCCTGGCGGGTGGGAAACCCTATAGAAAGGCTGCGGGAGGCGGCGGGAAAGGCCCCCAGCGGCAGCCAGCTGTGTGCGTGTCCGTGTCTGGAAAACCTCAGGAACCCCGCGCGGGGCCAGGACACCGTCCGGGCAGCGCCCCGGCCCGACGACGCTCGGGCGAAGGGCTCCCGGTTCCTAATCACGGAGCGCGTCCAACTGATGAGGAACTCAGACGTGCGGCTGGACATATCTGCACGGCGCCTCAGTCCATGTGTAAATCCATGCTTTTCCATTATCTTTATTACAAGAAATTGAATGGTTCCCTGTGCTGCACAGTAGGACCTTGTTGCTTATGAGTTTTATATACAGTAGTGTGTATCTCTGCGCGTCTCGAATTTATCCCTCCACCCCCGCCTCCCCCTTGGTAAAGACAATTTGCAGTAAACTTGACTTACAATATTGTTAGTTTCGGGTGTAGAGGAAACTGATTCAGGCACATGTATATATTCTTTTTCATTATAGGTTATTACAAGCTATTGAATAGAGTTCCCCATGCTCTATGGTACGTCTTTGTTGTCTGTCTATTTTATGTACAGTAGTGTGTTATCGGCTAACCCCAAACTCCTAACGGATCCTAATTTTTGAAGTGGAGGGCACAGGAGATCACACATTTCTGAAAGTAAGTTTCAGGCATAATCATCTGCGGGAAACTCGAAAAATATCAATCAAGCACCAGGGAGAGGAAAGAGAAATTAAAGTCTTCCCACAAGAGCCGCCGGCGTGAATCACACGCCGTCTTCCTCCCGGGCTAAGCAGAGGGGAACAGTGTTCGCGGGTAGCTCTCTCCAAGACACACACACACATCACCGCCGCATGTGCATACGTGTAACGCTGGATGCACACTCTATGCACGGTTTTATACCCATGTCTTTCCCCACTCACCCAAATGGAATGAGTGGACTGAACAGAGGTATCTCTCGGACCACAACCCTGCCCGCCAACCGTATTCATACGATGGGGAAAAAGAGAACAGCAAGACAGAGAGAGAGGAGGAGAAATGACACGCCCCAGGCTCTGGGAGCCAGAATCAGACGGACAAGCATCAGACTCAGGAGGAAGAAGGGTGCGCCCTTCCTTCACGTATGCCCACACCCTAACCATCCCCGGCACTGTGACTACGGTACCTCCGATGGCAAAGGGGACCCTGGAGGAGGGCTTGATTAAGGATCCTCAGATGTGAAACTTCAGGGGGAGGGTGTAGCTCAGTGGTGCAGCGCGTGCTTAGCATGCACAAGGTCCCGGGTTGAATCCCCAGGGCCTCCTCTAAAAAATAAATAAACCTAATTAACTCCTCCCGCTTCCAAAAAAAAAAAATTCTTAGATGCAAAAATTATCCTGGATTATCCACGTGCAGTATCTGTGTAATTCCAAGGGTCCTAGAGTCACATTTTCTCTGCCACTTGAGCTATGAATAATTTGACAAACGTCTGCTCTATTTGGGAAGAAGCGTAGTGGCTGTAGCTCATTGCTTGATTTACATCTGTCCCTTTGACTGCATCCATTTAACTATTTACTTCCTTTATGGACTGGGTCTCCAAGTCTGAAGGCGATGTCTTAATTCTACCGATACAAATGTGTTCCGGCACATTTACGAGAGGTTTGGTTCTGTGTTTAACATCTGAACGTGTTAAAAAAAAAATCTGAACGTGTTAGTAACTGTGCCTCCTCCCTTTGCAGGGTCGGGATGGACTTTTATGAAATAAGTGGACCATAGCAGAGGAAGAGAGAAATGGGTCGGGGACGGGGCACCAAGGTGACGAAGGGGACGTGTTTCTGATGCTCTGAAAAGCTCCATGGGCTAAAAGTGGGGCTGTGGGTGGTTCGCGTCGAAGATGGGTTGAAGGCAAGGGAAGGGGACGCCACGTGGCCCTCTGAAGAGTGCTGGCTGCAGGGATGAAATCAAGACAGTTGGGTGTGAGGGTCTGGAGCCCAAACAATGACACTTACGGAAACACACGGAGGATTTAGTTAAACGACACTTGCAAAGACGCCCAGCCCTTCCCACGTTGCTGATGCATCTTGGCCCAAGTGGATCCGTCAAAGCGTCACCCCACGCACGGCATATCATCACCTTTTTCCATCATTTCAAAGCAACGTCCTAAAACCGAGCGCGCTCATAAAAGCCACGCACACCATTGGAACGAAGCAGCGGTAACAAGTGGCAGATACGCCCGCGGGTTTCCCTGGGGTCCTGCTTTCCCAAGGGACGGCGCTCGCGCGGCGGCCAGAGCTCACGCCCCGCCCTCGCTGGCCCCAGGGGTCCCCGACACTCACCGTTATTGACCAGCACATGGAGGGGGATGTTCTTCATCTTGAACTTCTGGACGAACTGCCGGACAGACCTCATGGACGCCAGGTCGCAATACAAAAACTCCACTGGAAAAAAGACGAGAAACGCCTGGTTATCTTCCAAACTACGGCAGAAGCTAAGATGAGTCCTTGAAGCCCTCCTGGGAAGTGGCCCCGGATTAGAAAAAGAGGAGGGTCCGCTGCAGGGGACATGTGCTAAGAGGATTGCCCTCAGTGAGTTACACCTTTGTTTATTCCGTCTCTGAGTGTGGGTGGCACCGGTGACGTGTCTCTAGTCAACAGGATGTAGCCAACGTGGTGGCATGTCTTCCCATGATGGGGTTTCCTTCTACAGCAAAGAAAATGGGGCGTCGTTGCTACGGCAATGGTTCATTACGTAAGACTCCCTCCTGTGGGCAAACCATACAGATTCTCCGGCCACCGTGCGGTGCGACGGCCATGGGGCAAGACCCCGAGGGCAGCTTCTGGGAACAGAGAACAGCCCCCAGCCAAGGGCAACGGGAGTGTCAGAACCTCAGGCCTACAACCTCCAGGAACCGACTTCGCTGAACAACCGTGCGAGTCTGGAAGAGGATCCGGAGGTCCAGAGGGGAACCCAGACCACACAACCGTCCTGAGCAGAAGGCCGCTGTCTCGGTCATTCTGCAGCAGTGTGGTCTCTGCACTGTCCAGCTGGCTCTCATAAAGGATCACCTTGGGTCCTTCCAGCCCCAGCTTTTGGGAACATGCTCACAGGGGTGTCTGTGGCCCCAGGACCCTGGAACACAGGACCAGCACCTTCTGCAGCATGTGTCTCAGGGGCGAGACGTGCATGTGGGTTTTTGCGGTTTGGAGTTTTCTGCAGGACGTTTTAAATGCCACAGCGCCAGAAAGCCAGCAAAAGTGCTCGCTTGGGAAACTGTATTTCGGAACACATACGTTAGTGTTCACTCAGAAGGGACATTCTGAGTTAATCTTTCCTTTCCAGCATCTTCAGCGTGGAGAGTGGAACCCACGTGCGCCAAGTCACACGGCCAACGAGGACAAGGGCGTGTGCATTTTCAGTATTTTCCCTTAAAAATTTACCATGGGAGTCGGGGTGGGTACGGTCCTGGGCCAGAGTTACTCAGCATGATCAAGGGACGGGCTCCATCCTGTGATCAGTCTGCCAGGAGACACATTCAGAAACTGAGGCTGTGTTCAGAAAAGGTTTTTTAAAAAAATCAAGTCATTTTGTGGATTTGCTGAACCCAATGATATTTCTTAAAGAAAGCAACATGGAGCACTCACATTTTGCATGTTTCTTAAATTGATTTTTTTCTCATAATTCATTCTACTCTGTCTGCAACGGCGCCAAGGCAGGGACAGACTGGGGGAGAGGGGTTTCGCCACAGGGAGTTCGGATGTGCCGCTCCAGAAAATGGGGCCACGTGGGTAGGGATTCCTGACACCCCATTCTAACTGTCCCCCGAAACACTTCCAAGAATGTGGAAAAAGAAAAATAAAAAAAAGTAGAGGAGAACCCACACTATCGCTAATAAACGGAACGCACGGTGAAAGCCTGAGTGGACCCGCACACTCAGCTTCCAGACACGCAGCCCTGTTACTGGATCTCTGGGGAGTCCGAAGATGCCTCTCCTCTGCTCTCTGGGGGAAAAAAGGGAATCAGAAATGACCAGAAGCGTGAGGGCTGCTGTTCCATGTTGACATCGCTGGCTTGTGGCACAGCCACTGAGTTTTCTTTCCTTTCTGCCCACTCCTGTCCATCAGCCTCTACTTGCTACGCTCATTCGGGAGCCACCTGGCCCCCCGGCCCCTCGCGTCTGCACCACTGGGAGGTGGGGGGGACATGGCACACAGAATGCGACCCTGAGATCAAGCCGTACAGCTGGGGCGGGCAGAGCGTCCCGCTGTAGACTGGAACACTCTGCAGGGCCCTCCCTGAGAACGGAAACGCAGAAGACACGCTGCAGAGGGTGGGACCTCGCCCCCGAAGGAGCCGAGGCACCAGGAATGACAGGACACGGGGAACCACGCATGCCAGGGGCTCAGCTAAAACCCAAGCAGGCGCTGTATCCCCCCCGAAGAATGAGCACGCTGGGAGGGGCCACGGGTAACGGATACAGCTGGTCGGGGAGGGGGCAGGGCAGGAGAGGGAGACGCAGGGCACATTTTTCATTTTACCTCGACGGCCGTCGGTGACCCCTTCGTGTCTATCTGGGTAATTAGAGAAGCGGAAGGTTGAGATGTTTTGAGACTATTCAACACACCCCTAGGAGACAAGAAAGGGGACGTGTGTCGTACAGGTGACGGGGGGACATGGGAGGTAACCCAGGTGTCCACGGAGCAAGAACAGGAGACCCACGGAGCAGGCAGGGGGCATGGGTTGAAGAGGTGGGGTGAGCCCTGAGTATCTGGTCGTGATACGAAACCAACATGGTAGCCGCTTAGTGGAAGACTGCACTCAACAGATTTGTTACAAATCCTAGCCATTGTATGTAAAGATACATTTAGAAATATTTTTTAAAGTTTCTCCTGTATTGCACGGGCAACTATATTCAATATATTGTAATAACCTTCAATGAGAAACAATATGAAAATGAACATATGTCTGTACATGCATGACTGGGACAGTGTGCTGTGCAGCAGAGATAGACACGTTGTAACTGACTGCACTGCAGTTTAAACAAAAGTATGAGAAAGGAGAATTCTTCTGCAGGTTCATTGCAGAGTTTTTTTCTTTTTTTTTTTCTGGTGGTGGTGGTGGTGGTAGAATTAGGTTTATTTAATTTATTTTTTCTAAGGGAGGTGCGGGGGACGGAACCCAGGACCCCGTGCATGCCACACACGCGCTCGACCCCTGAGCCCTGCCCTCCCCCGCATCACAGGGTTTTTTTTTTTTAAAGTGGGGACTGGAAATGAAAAGGCCGCAGAGCATGAGGCAAGCCATCACGGGGAAGGCAGCACGGGTACGTGTCGTCTTCTCGGAGTAACACGGCGTCGCCCTGGCTTCCCCGGGGCTCCGGGACGGACGGGCGCGGAGAGGCGGGCACAACCGACACCGCTCCACACGGCTTTGAGCATCTGGCAGATCGACGGACAAAACAAAACAAAACAACAACAACAACAACAAAAAAACCCAAACCACAAAAAGCAACAAAAACGCCAGGACCCAGAGGAGGCTGTGAATAAGACGTTCGACAAGGCTGGAAACACCGATTTCCACACAGGGACGCGTGTACCGCAGGGAGATTTTCTGAATTACAGCCATGCACTTCCAACTGTATTAACCGTATGCTGAACAGACAACTAAAATAGGAACCTCTCGAGGAAACGAATAGTTTCCCAAGAAAAATACTGATTGTTACAACCTAATCAAGGCAATGAGAACTAATCAGAGCCACGACTATGGGACGAATGGAAAAATGAATGAGGAATAATTGCAGAAAAGGCAGGGAGGGGGCTCGACGGGAGATGATCAGATTTGTTCCGACTTTCCAAGAACGGACAAATCCCAACCTACGTTGATTGATTTTTAAACACCGGCAAACAGAAAGAGAAAGAAAAATACCACATGATTTCACTCATATGCAGAATCTAAAAAAATGAAGAAAAAAAAAGGACAGTATGAACTCATCTACAAAACAGAAAGAGACTTGCACACGCAGGAAACTATCTTATGGTAACTGGGGGAAGGGGGTGCGAAGGGATAAATTTGGGAGTTTGAGATTTGCAAATGTTAGCCACTATACGTAAAAATAGATTAAAAAAAAACCAAGTTTCTTCTGTATAAAAAAAAAACTGGCAAAAAAAAAAAACAAGGCTGAGTTGATTCTTTTTAAGAAGTTTGCATTTTTGCGACAGAAAAACCTGCGAAGAAATTGCACCAAAAGGGGAAGGGAGGTCACATCCAGGACCACTCAGTGGATCCCAGGAAATCTGCCGTCTCTCCCTCCGTGATGGGAATGGAAATCGCGCCCATGGATGGAGGGGCCGGGGCTCACCTCGTCCTGAACTTGGGGCACCAGAGCTGCCCCGCTCCACGCAGCCACACTCTCGTGGGGAGGGCGGCTGCGGCACCCCCTCCACACACACTCCTGGTCTCGGAGGCCTGGGCCTGCCTTCGCTCCAGAGAGAGGGACAGAGGCCCCTAACGTGCCGGGACGTGCCCGCAGGAGCACAGCGTGGCTGTGACGCCCTGCCTCTGCCATCCTCCTGGATTTCTCTACTGGAAAAATAAAGGCGAAACAGACACACGTCTTGGCTGCTAGAGAGACGCGCTCATGTGCGTCGAGACGGGAAATCCTGTTTTCTGTGTATGAAGTACGTCTGAGCCTGCCCGTGAAGCCAGGTATGGAAGGGGCATGGAGGGAGGTTATTGTGTGTGTGTGTGTGTGTGATGTAGACAGAGATGCAGAATCAGAGACCTACAGAGAGAGTCAGAGAGAGCGACAGAGACACAAAGAGATACAGAAAATATGAAAACGAATTATGTATGTACATGCATGACTGGGACACTGTGCTGTGCACCAGAGACGGACACATTGTAACAGACTGCACTTCAATTAAAAAAAAAAGAGAGACAGAGAAAGAGACACAGAGAGTCAGAGAGACGGAGACACAAGCGAGAGAACACAGACGTACAGATCCCTGGCCTGGAGGGAGAAAACTGAATAGGGAGGGAGGTCTAGCTCAGGGGTAGAGTGTGTGCTTAGCATGCATGAGGTCCTGGGTTCAATCTCCAGTCCCTCCATTAAAGAAAAAAAAAAAAAAAGAGCAGCCAGTGATTTAACTTAATCTTGAAAGAGAAAACTATTAAGTAACAGAAAAAAAAAAGTATGCAACATTAAAAAAAAAATAAAATGAGGGAGAGAATAGGTCAGGAGTGTAGCACATGCTTAACATGCATGAGGTCCTGGGTTCAATCCTCAGTCCCTCCATTAAAGAAAAAAAAATTAAATAAGTAAACCTAATTACCTCTGCTCTGGAAAAAGAAAAAAAGAACACCGAATAAGTGAGTGCCCATTTCTGTCTTTCGTTCTGCTGGTTACGGGAGCCCCTCCACGGCCCCTCGACGGCGGGGATGT